ATAGTGAAACACTGAGTGCTTTCCCCTTAAGAGCAAGGACAAGGCAAGTGTATCCACTCTCACCACTCTTATTCAACATAGTACTGGAAATTCTAGCCACTGAAATAAGACAAGGAAACAAAACGCATACAGATCAGAAAGGAAGAAATAAAACTGTCCACTTGAAGATGACATGATTATATATGTAGAATATCCCAAGAAATTTACACACACACACACACACAAAAAAAAAAAACAAAAACAAACACAGAACTAACAAGTGTGTTCAACAAGGTCACAAGATAAAAGATAAACATACAAAAATCAATTGTATTTCTATATACTAGAACATGAACATGTGGACATAAAAATTTTAAGATGCAATACCATTAGCATTCGCTCAAAAAGAAAAGTTACTTAAACTGAAATCTAACAAAACGTATAGAAATTATACACTGAAAAATTTAAAATGTTGATGAAACAAAGAAAATTTAAATAAATGGAAAGACATACCAAGCTCATGGGTTGGAAAACTCAATATAGTAAAAGTGCCAATTCTCCCCAAATTGATGACAAATTTAATGCAATGCCTATTGAATTCCCCAGTGAAATATTTTGTAGATATAGACAAGATTATTCTAAAATATAGACAGAAAAGCAAAAGAGCTAGAATAGCTTAAAACTATTTTGAAAGAATAATAAAGTAGGAGGAATTGGTCTACTCAATTTCAAGATTTATTATACAGTTACAGTAATTAAGGCTGTGTGGCTTTGGTAGAAAGATAGACACATAGAACACTAAAACAGAAGAGAGAACTTAGAAATGACCTACAAAATATGCCTAACTAATTTTTTTAACATAAGTGAAAAAGCAATAAAATAGAGGAAAGACAGCCTTTGAACAAATAAATGGTGATGGAGCAAATGAATATCCTTACGCAAAAATAAGTAAATAAACCTTGACCTAAGTCTCAAGTGTCAGCAGTTCAAACCCACCAGTCGCTCTGCAGGAGAAAGATGTGGCGGTCTACTTCCATAAAGATTACAGCCTTGGAAACCCTATGGGGCAGTTCTACTCTGTCCTGCAGGGTCACTATGATTTGGAATTGACTTGATGGCAATAGGAAATCTCACACGTTATATAAAAATATAAAAATTAACTCAAAATAGATACAGACTTAAATGTAAACCATAGAACTATAAAAGTTGTAGAAAGAAAACAAAGGTGAAAAAGTTTGGGATCTAGGGCTAGTCAAAGAGTTTTTAGACTTGACACAAAAAGCACAATCCATAAAAGGAAAAGTGGATAAATTGGACTTCATCAATATAAAAGACTTTTGCTCTGTAAAAAACTCTGTTGAAAGAATAAAAAGACATGCTACAGACTAAGAGAAAATATTTGAAAATCTCGTATCTAACAAAAGACCAGTATCTAGAATATGTAAAGAAATCTCAAAACTCAACAATAAAAAAAAAACAATTTAAAAACGAGCAACATTCATAAACAACATTTCACTAAAGAGGATATACAAAGGGCATATAAGTACATGAAAATATATCATTATCATTAGCAATTAAGGAAATGCAACTTAAAACTACAATGAGATATCACTACACACCTATCAGAAAGACTGAACGAAACAAAAAACACTACCACCAAATGCTGGTGATGATGTAAAGAAACTGGATCACTCATATATTGCCTATAGGAACGTAAAATGGCACAGCCACTCTGGAAAACAGTTTGGCAGTTTCTTAAAAAATTAAACATGAAACTACCATATGACCGAGAATTGCACTCCTGGGCATTTATACCAGAGAAATGAATACGTACGTTCACGCAAAAATCTGTACAGAAATGTTCATAGCAGCTTTATTTGTAATAGCCAAAACCTAGAAACAACCCAGAGGTCCGTCAGTGGGTGAATAGTTAAACAAACTGTGGTACATCCATACCACGGAATACTACTCAGCAATAAAAGGAACAAAATACTACTACACACAAAATTTGGATGAATCTCCAGAGAATTACGCTGCATGAAAAAAAGCCAGTCAAAAAAGATTACGTGCTGTATGATTCCATTATATAATATTCTACAGAAGAAAAAATAACGGTCAACACTACAGGCCCTAATACACAGCATTAACAGGAATACAAACCTTAACTAACAAATCACAAACACCAGAAGATAAGCTAGATAACTGGGAACTTCTAAAAATTAAACACTTATGCTTATCAAAAGACTTCACCAAAAGAGTAAAAACAGAACCTACAGACTGGGAAAAATTTTTTGGCTATGACAAATCCGATTAAGTTCTAATCTCTAAAATCTATAGGAAAATCCAACACCTCTACAACAAAAAGACAAAAAATCCAGTTAAAAAATGGCAAAGGATATGAACAGATGCTTCACCAAAGAAGACATTCAATCAGCTAACAGACACATGAGGAAATGCTCACGATCACTAGCCATTAGAGAAATGCAGATCAAAACCATAGTGAGATATCATCTCACCCAGACATTACCGGCATGAATCAAAAAAAAAAGAACAAAAACAAACAAACAGAAAATAACAAATGTTAGAGAGGCTGCTGGGAGATTGGAACTCTTATACACTGCTGGTGGGAATTCAAAATGGTACAACCATTTTGGAAAACGATACGGCTCTTTCTTAAAAAGCTAGAAACAGAAATACCATATGATCCAGCAATCCCACTCCTAGGAATAGATCCTAGAGAAATAAGAGCAGTCACACAAATAGACATATGCACACCCATGTTCACTGCAGCATTGGTCACAATAGCAAAAAGATGGAAACAACCTCGGTACTCATCAACAGATGAATGGATAAACTATGGTACATACACACAATGGAACACTACGAAACAATAAAGAACACAATGATGAATCTGTGAAGCATCTCACAACACGGATGAATCAGGAGGGCATTATGCTGAGTGAAACAAGTCAATCACGAATGGACAAATATTGTATGAGACCAGTGCTATAAAAACTCATGAAAAGATTTACACACAGAAAGAAACAATCTTTGATGGTTACGAGGGAGGGGAGGAGTGGGGAGGGAAAAACACTAACCAGACAATAGATAAGCGGTAACTCTGGTGAAGGGTAAGACAGGACACAGTACTGGAGAAGCCAGCACAACTTGTCCAAGGCAAGGTCATGGAAGCTCCATAAACACATCCAAATTCCCTGAGGGACCAAATTACTGAGCTGAGGGCTGTAGGGACCAAGATCTTGGGGAACATCCAGCTCAACTGGCATAATATAGTTTATAAAGAAAATTTTCTTCATCCTACTTTGGTAAACAGTGTCTGAAGTCTTAAAAGCTTGTGAACGGCCATCAAAGATGTATCTACTGGTCCCACCCCATCCGGAGCAAAGAAGAATGAAGAAAACCAAAGACACAAGGGAAAGATTAGCGCAAAGGACTAATGGACTACGAGTACTATAACCTCCACCAGACTGAGTCCAGCACAACTAGATGGTGCCTGGCTACCACCACCAACTTGCTCTGACAGGGATCACAATACAGGGTCCCAGACAGGGCTGGAGAAAACAGTAGAACAAAATTCTAACTCACAAAAAAAAAAAAAAAAAAAAAAAAAAAAAAGACCAGACTTACTGGTCTGAGAGAGATGGGAGAAATCCAGAGAGTATGACCTCCGGACACCCTTTTAGCTCAGTAATGAAGTCACTCCTGAGGTTCACCCTTCAGCCAAAGATTAGACAGGCCCATAAAACAAAACGAGACTAAATGGACATACTAGTCCAGGGTCAAGGATGAGAAGGCAGGAGGGGACAGGAAAGCTGGTAACGGGAAACCTAAGGTTGAGAAGGGGAGAGTGTTGACATGTTTTGGGGTTGACAACCAATGTCACAAAACAATATGTATTTTAATTGTTTAATGAGAAGCTAGTTTGCTCTGTAAACCTTCTTCTAAAGTACAATAAAAAAAAAGAAGTTAGCTTTCTGTATCAACACTTAACTTGCCCACAGTCCCTAAGGAAAACCTAGAATTTTATTTATTGTATCAATGTATTGAATGTTTAGAATAATAAAGGCTTTAAAATGCAGCATGTGGTTTACTCAGTATTTTAAACTAGTTTCAGGACTCTAGCAGCAAGAAAGAGAAAAGAAACACGGAGGGAGGAGCCCCACTTACCACACAGGCATATTCATTAGCAGTGGGGTGGGGGGAGGATTTTTATAGCTAAGTTTTCATCAAAGAAAAATCAAATAAATAATTTTATCCAAAAAATGCATCACTCTCTATACAATGTTCAAGCATATTACATCTACACATTATCTCCTTTAATCTCTCCGTTAACTCTCTAAGGGAGGAACCAATTGGCTCAGTTTCACAGATGAGCAAACTGAGGGTCTAAGAAGTGAAGTAATTTATCTGAAATCCCATAGGCAAGAAGTGGCAGAACGGGGATTGAGCCCCAATTTTCGCCACTACCAGTGATTGTTCATAATTAAGCTTACCACTGTGTCATTAAAAAACTCCACAGAGCCATCTGAACAGTCAAAAGGTATTCAAGCCTTAGTTGGTGGTCTACTGTCTTTAAAATGTATTTAAGAAAACAGAACGCTAGCAGACCACTTTTAGCGTGGTATGGAGTTCATTTTGTTGAAGTGGGATTTAGGCTTTTGTTTACCTGCTACCTTTCCCTTTCCTTTCAACTTTGCCTTCTGACTGTTGCTACTACATTTCAGCACTTTCCCTTAAGCATGGAGCAGGAATCGATTGACCAAAACAGGAAACTGAAAATTTTGCATATATTTTCATCAACTGTAAATTCCATCCTGGAAGTCCCCGCAGTGACACCGGAATATCCCCAACCACTGAGATAAAGCCTCATATACATCAATATTCTGAAGGCTGAGTAAATGGAATACTGCAATCTTTCCTAATTGCTTTAATCCTGGGTACTGTAAGAAATGGGTGGGTTAACTGCCTTGGAATAAAGTTTTTTTCCATATTTATTTTAGCAATTTATGAAGTTGGAATTGAAGAACTCCAAAAGGTATTGTTTCCTTTTTCCTTACCAACTTTATAACTAAATAAACTAAAACAGGTGTACAGGGTTAATCCTAAAGTAGTTTCTTTTATGAGGGAGGAAGGGTCTTCTTTGTTTTCGGTTTTCCCCCTATTTCTGAGGTTTTCCCAGACTCGAGATGCTGAGATTCTGAATGTTGAGCCCTGCAGAAAATGCGTGATAGCATGAGAGGAGGTGTCCTAATCTATCCCAGCCCCTTCTCTACAGCAGCCGGCACCCACTGGCCTTGAATAACCACTTTGTCCTTTCCAGGGAAAAGAGTTCTTGGGCACAGTCTAAATTTGTATATCCTGTTGTTTCAAGAAAATGACCAGACATTTCAATGTATATTCTGGGCTCCTACTCCCTGTTGGAAACCCTGGTGGTGTAGTGGTTAAGAGCTATAGCTGTTAACCAAAAGGTTGGCAGTTCAAATCTACCAGGCACTCCTTGGAAACCCTATGAGGCACTTCTGCTCTGCTCTATAGGGTTGTTTATGTATTGGAATCGACTTGACGGCAATGGATTTGGTTTGATTTTTTTGTACTCCCTGTTGGGTGCTGTGCTAGGTGCTACTTTGGAGGCAATAACAGCTTGGTTAAGGGCCTGAACCCCAGCTTTTTCACCTCCTGGCTGTGTGATCTTGAACCTTCATTTCTTCATCTGTAAAGTAGGGATAATAGATATACCCACATCTGGAGCTATTGTGGGAATGAAAATAAGGTAAATGCAGGTAAACAGTTTCGTAGGAAGTGCCTGGAACAGAGCATTTTACCTCTCTTAGCCTCAGCTTGAAGTTCCTGGGTGGTACAAATTGTTGACACGCTCATCTGCGAATGGAAAGATTAGAAGTTTAAGTACACCCAGAGACGTTTTGGAAGAAAAGCCTGGAGATCTATTTCTGAAAAATCAGCCATTGAAAACCCTATGGAGCCCAGTCCTACCCTGATGTACATGGGGTTGCCATGAGTCAGAATCAACTCAACGGCAGCTGGTGGTGGTGGTGGTGGTGGAGCCTCAGCTGTGTGCTCTGTAAAATGGGGTGTTGTCCATGATGGCAGGAAGCATACGCTTCTGGTTACTGTGTCTGACGTAGTAGATGCTCAATATATAAGGAGTCCAATACTTACTTCACTGAATTGCTGAGAGTATGAAGTCAGACAGAGTATGTAAGCGCCTAATACAGCACCTGGCACCCGGTAGGCACTCACCTAATGTTTTTTAACTGGGTCAGTTCAGGTTCTACTCCTTTTCACTGTGTGCATTTAGTCTAGTTCCTACATCTCTCTGCTTAGTTTTGTTATGGTTACTTTTAAGGATTATTCGTTAGTGGATACACTTTATAGCTAGACAAATATGAAAGATTATTTCTATTAAAAGAATATCCATACCAAAAACCAAACCCATTGCCTTCGAGTAGATTCCAACTCATAGTGACCCTACAGGACAGAGCAGAACTGCCCCACAGGGTTTCCAAGGAGCATCTGGTGGATTTGAACTACCAACCTTTTGGTTAGCAGCCGAGCTCTTAACCACTGTGCCACTAGGGCTCCATTATTAAGAATAGAAATGTTCTATTAAAATGCTTCACTTACCTAGCAACATTAGCAAATACTAAACTGTTCTGCACAAGTAAACTCTCCAAATGACTGAATTTTGCCCCATTCAAATAAAAATTATGAAAGTATTTTTAATTTTTAAGTCATTTAATCCTCAGACATGTGTTATGTTCATTTTTCATTTTTAGGCATGGTGAGTGGAATCTGACTCCACCCCTTCTTGATGACTTGGAGGGCTCCTGAGCATAGAGACTGAGAGGGGCATAGTCCATGCTCTTCTTCGGTCATGCTCTTGGACCCTTGCAGGGGTTCAGAGCTAGTTGCCTTCACACCAAACTGCAATTCCTGCCTCTGTTTTCTGTAATTGTCTCATATCTCTTCTCTGACAATGATCAATTCTTGCTATTATTAATAACCTTGTGTCTAGTAGTGAGCCATTCATGTGACCAAGCGTGTACGGAGTCCCTGTTGTGTGCCAGGGAGCACTCAACACCATAGCACTCAATCGTCACAGTTACCCTGTGAGCTGGTATCACTGCCACCATTTTACAGATGAGAACAACACTGAGGCTCAGAGAGGTTAAACAACCTGTAACTAAGGTAGCAGAAATATAAAACAAGCTCTATCTGACTTACTATTCTACGAGTGCTGCCATCCAATTTGCTAGAATTATATGTTCGATAAAAATCAATAGGACCTGGATAAAGGCTTTCAGGGCTCCTCTCAAAGGACAGCATATGAGTTATGTCTGGATTTTGTGGCAGCCATTTTGAATGCTTTGATACTTTTTGTTTCCTCCAGGTCCCTGGCTAGATTCCAAACAATTAATGGCATCAAACATGATTACTGGATAAATGAGGGGCTATATTGTGGTCATTGGGTCATAATTTATATAAGAGTCAAATCTATATCATGTGAGAGCTGAAATTTGATCAAAGGGTACATGATAAGCAAGTACGGGATAATTCTCAGCACTTGTGTCACACACTTGCACATACCAATTTTGCCCAGAAACATTGCGCAAATACCACCAGTTCATATTTACTCCTATGACTTTGAAGTTCTTTATTCTATAGATGCGTTCCTGGAAAAGCATGCAGAGAGCCATTTCTTTTTCTAAGTCAAATCATACTTTCCTTCTGGAACACACCATCACTTCAGGAATGCTATTTTTGTTTTCTGACTGATCTTCAACTCAACTGGCAACAATTCATAGAACTTTCTCCTGTCAGCGTCTGCCTTCACTCTGGACTGAGACCTCATCCGCATCACCTTTTGGCCTAGTCTCTAAATGATTTGTAACTGAACAACAGAGGACTGATTTGGGCTGATTTATGAAAATGACCATTTTCCTCTTTACTTTCAGCCTTGGAAGAGTTTTCTCAATCAAGAACTCAGGTGAGTTTTATCTTCAATATGAAAAACATTAGTCCAACCACTGACCCTCTGATGGCTGAACTAGCTTTCCAGCAACTATGTTTCCAGTGCCTGACCAGGTTCTGTCCCCAGTGACCTGCCAGGTACCTGGTACAAGAAGATGCTTGATGACTGTGGCCTTGCCTTTCTCTCTCACCTCATGCTAGCCTACACTCCACTCTCTTAGCGAACACTTTCCGAGCACCTGGCAAGTGCCAAGCATGGGGCCGTGGCCGTGATGGAGACCTAGCCCTTGCCCTCAGGACTCTTGAATTAGTGGGAGAGTCACACAACTCAACAGGCAAATAGCAACCATGTGAATCCCAAAGAACTTACATGCTGTGTAAAGCACCATGCTGTCAAGTCTCTCTGCCTTTGCTCATTTAATTCATTCATTTATACCCACTGAATGGTCTGGTAAACGTCTACTGATCCTTCAAGCGTCCCTGTTCTAAAAACCCTTCCTTGACTGCCCTCCTTCACAGTCAGGTAACCGAGAGGTAACCAGTCTTTATGGTTCCACTGTAAGGTATACATGTTTACACTAATGTCACTGCATGTAGTGTCATCATTTTCATCCTTGCCCTCCCCACCGCCCTGTTGTCTGTGAGCTCCTTGTGGGCAGGGGCCATGTTTTATTGTTCTTGGCATTCCTGGTACCCCTCATGCTTCCTGAGTCCAGAGCAGTGCCCTGGCACACAAGAGTGCTCTTACCTGCGTCTTCAGGATCCACTTCTATCACTTCTCCACTGGAGTTATGCTTACTGCATTAGAGTAATCATGGCTGGTGAGCTCTAGAGAAGCAAGACTCCAAATTTCCTGGTTGAGGTTAAAAACGCAATTGCTGAATCATGATAGAAAATCTGTTTCAGCTGGCTGGGCTACCATCTTTTCTCTCCTCGAGTTCCTGCCTCTCTCTAAATTGCAGGACCTCCCCCCCACCCCATCATTACCCTTTAGCACCTAGCACAGTGCTCGGCTCATGACAGGCACACATGGAATGATTAATCAGTTAGTTCAGTATTTATTAAGCTTTTATTCTGTTCAGACACTGCTAGATTCTCAAGGTTCATAAACAAACAATACATTCCACATCCTCAGAACAAGATGGGAGTGGAGGCTAGCGTGGCTGGGGTAGGGATTACTTGGAAGGGGAAACTACCAAACAAATAGAAAATTACAGTATAACACAATTACTGCCATGGAAGTTGTACAAGCACAGAGGTGGGGCATGAAAACCAGCCTGGAGGTTCCAGATGTACATCCTTGAAGAGGTGACAGCTGAGCTCAATTGTGAAAGATGTGTAGGAATTGGGCACCGGGGAAATGGTAGAAAGTGTGGTCTGGGCACAAGGGAAAGTGTGAGCGAAGACATAGAGTGTCAAATAGGAGGCATGTGCAGGAACTTAGAGACAGTTTGATACTGTTTGAGCTCAATTAATTCATTAACTCACTCCCACTGAATGAATGGTCTGGCAAACTTCTACTAATCCTTCAGTGCAGTGTGGGAGCAGCAAGGAACGAAGCTGGGGAAGTGGGCAGACTGAATCCAGGAGGGCACTGAGTGCCCTAATTAATCATTTAGACCAGCCCTGACCAATCAAAATATAATACAAGCCATATATGTAATTTGAGATATTCTACTAGTTATATTTAAAAAAGTAAAAAGAAACAGATGAAATTAATTTTAATAATTTATTTCACCCAATATATCCAAAATATTATCATATCAGTACATAATCAATACAAAAATTATTAATGAGGTATTTTACATTCTTTTTCTTTTCCTTTTTTTAAAAAATTATACTTTAGATGAAGGTTTACAGAACAAACCAGCTTCTCGTTAAACCATTAGTACACATATTGTTGTGACACTGGTTGCCAACCCCACGGACATGTCAACACTCTCACCTTCTCCACCTTGGATTCTCTATTACCAGCTTTCCTGTCCCCTCCTGCCTTCTCATCCTTGCCCCTGGGCTGGTGTGTCCATTTAGTCTCGTTTTGTTTTATGGGCCTGTCTAATTTTTGGCTGAAGGGTGAACCTCAGGAGTGGCTTCATTACTGAGCTAAAAGGGTGTCTGGGCACCATACTCTCGGGGTGTCTCCAGTCTCTGTCAGACCAGTGGTCTGGTCTTTTTTTCCTGAATTTGAATTCTGTTCTACATTTTTCTCCCGTTCTGTCCAGGACTGTCTGTTGTGATCCTTGTCAGAGCGGTCAGTGGTGGTAGCCAGGCATCATCTAGTTCTTCTGGTCTCAGGCTGGGGGAGTCTCTAGGTCATGTGATCCTTCAGTCCTTTGGGCTAATATTCTCCTCATGTCTTTGGTTTTCTTCATTCTCC